TTTTCTCCCTCTGAGTCTAACTTTTGTACAGCAGTGTTCCAGTTATCATCCTGTGAGGAATAGCAACCTGTCGGCTCCATTTTACCTCCCTTAATTCAATTTCCACATTTCCTTCTGTGTTCCTGGAACTCTATTGCAGGCTCACTCATGGTTGGTGGTTCCAGAGCCTGTTGCTTGGTAGAAACCAAGCTTTCTTCCTTAACTTTTTTTCCTTTTCTCTGTCTTAACCCCTGCCACTCTGCCCTCCCGATTTGAATCTCCCAGTCCCCAAGTGTTAGGTCATCTAAAACTTTCTTTGGGTTGCCTACATATGGTTGGATTTGTTGTTTCTGCTTTTTCACTGGGTAAGCCACTTACTCTTTCTGGACCTCAGTTTCTAGTTGGTTTCTAACAACCCCAATCACACACATAATTGGGTATTTATCTCCCTTGCTGGGAGGCTGCCTTCCACACAGGCTGTCCCCAACTATTTTGTCATTTGAGGGATTGGAGTGGGATGTGGTTCATGTTCTATCCTGTAGCCAAAGTAAGAAGCAAGTGACACTTCACAAAATAAAGAGGGGGAAAAATCCATTTCCTACAAAATGGAAAAGGGAAAGGAGCACAGATTGAAAAGAGGACAGGTGAGGTAAAAAACGTATTTAATGAAAGGATGGTGTCTTTAAGGGAAATTTAAAACAGGGTCATTTGTTTTCCCCAAAGCCATCTTTGCTCTGTTTTCTTTATCTGTGTACCTGCCTACCGCCGCATCCACCCATCCACCCACCCATCTAGCTCACATGTTGTCATCTACTTTTCTGGCCCACGGGGAGGGAATATTTGAGAAGAGCAAATAACCTAGAGGATCCCTAGCACAACCGGGCTTCAGTGTGTCCAGGTGCATGTCTACAAGGCTGGGATCCTTTCAGCCAGATGTCCAGCATGAGTCCCCCCACACTCCCCATTTTGTGTCAGGGACTCCCTTACCGGATGCAGTGTGTCCTTTTGATGAGGGGCCAGAAGAGGGGAAGTGATACTTCTGGGGCTGGAGGACACAGAGGAAAATGGAGCAGCTTCCTCCCCTCTTTTGAAGGAAGCTCTGGAAGCTGTAGAATTTAGCAGGTAAAAAAGAAGCTATTTGAGGGGCAGTCTGAGGCCCACGGAGGTCCCAGGGTGATGCTGGCTGCAGCTGTGCTGGGGGTGAATTATGGTGGTGTGGGAAGCAAAGGGAGAATCCCGTTCAAGAAGCTGGGTGTGAGAGGAATGCCAGCAGAATGCCTCTGCTTGTGAAGCTGAAGGTATTTCTCTCACCCGAGGGTCCCACAGCTTCCTTCATCTTCCCCCAGTCCCCCTGCTCCCCAGCCTGACCTTTGGGCTTGGAGAGACCAAGAAAAAACATTGAACTTGCGCCAAGAGAGAAACTGCAGCTCCTCAAAAATGGAAAGCAGGGTCATCATCGTGATATTCTGAATGTGGACTGTTCCAGAGAGCAGGGAGACGTGTCAGGAATGAGAATGGTTTGAGACAGGGCCCAAGGATGCTGCCCAGCTCCACCAGGGAGATGAAAGAATTTTCTCCTTCCTTTGCCTTTTAAATGTAATTCTGTCTGCCTTTCTCCCCCACACCCACCCAACCCTTTTTCTGGGAGCAGTGCAGACATTTAGCCATCCTGGGAAAAGGCAGGATCCTTTTCATTAACTGCAACCTGACTGCAGTCCCCAGAGCCATGGCGGAATGCATTTCCTCCCTCTTTGCCTCCCTGTCCTGGATCCCACCCCACACGGCTAGGATGGTCTGAGCACCCTGAGGACAGGGTCTGGATCAGTGCTTTTTAGGGCAGTGATTTGTGGAAGCACATTCTCATCTCTTCTCCGCCATGCCTCAGCCTCCCCTGCTGATTAATTCATTCAGATATTTGAATGCTATTTCATACAGGAAATGCTCTATGTGCTGAGCATTCTAGGTGTCATTTCCTCTTGTCAGCTTGAAGCATGTCATAAGCTGTCTCTCACACTTCCCAGTTACTTAGTCATTCTAGCCCTCACCTCTAGTTTGACAATATTCCCCACTTTTCTTGTAAGTCATTTGACCAACAGGTACTTAATGACTAATTGTTTGTCCAGACTCTTCTTAACACTTTGAGAAATGCAGAAGTTATGTAAGATTTATATAAACCATGGTCTTGTTGGGCATGGGCTTGTTAGGCGAAAAAAGGAAAATACAAAATATATACAAAAGAGAAGTTTAAATAATTAAGACCTAAATTGTGGGAATTCCCTGGTGTCCAGTGGTTAGGACTTCGTGCTTCCACTGCAGGGGCCACGGGTTCGATTCCTGGTTGGGGAACTAAGATCCCGCATGCCACAAGGCACGCCCCCCACCCCCCCCACCGCCAAAAAAAA